GACTTATTCTTGAGTAGTTGGGCTGTGGCTCATCTTAGGAGCTGATCTCCGAAAAAAGGCACCATGCGACCGACGAGGCTGGAAGGCCGGAACACGCTTACTGCACTGTGTAAGTGCCCGTAAAAGACCATGTGCATCTCTCAGAATTGACTATCAAACATACAGTTTTTACAGCGTGCTATCAAAAAACACTCCAAAAGAGGAACTGTTAAGATTGTCGAAATTTTAGCTATACAATGACCCATAGTTCAGTAAAAAACCGCCACAAAATCTAGCCGAGCAAATACAGAATATTAAGCATAAACAGAATATTAAATCTTCTCACGAATTTTGGTACTAGAACAAACACCTAATTTATTGATATACATGGATTGGTGTTAGTCAATCGATAGTTCGCTTCGTTGCAAACTTGATGCTAAAATTGGCTTTTCAAACGGTCTATAAAGACTTTTGTTGAAGCAATTAATATCATGTTGCGCACTGGTATTTGGTTCACCGTTTGACCTTATTTAGTTTCACTTGGCAACGTAAAACAAAGAAAAATTAGTATTTTTGTACGGTTTTAGTTGGTAACGTGAAACAATGAAAAAACGGTATTTATCAAATAATATTAGAAAATCTCCAAGAGAGACTGGCAAGTTACTCGTGAGTACCTAGTCCCCTCGTTTAGAGCCCGGCAAGCTTTACGCTGGGTATCAAAATGCGAAAAACAGCAACAAACATGGGCCTCATTCCCCTGACCCCGAAAGAGCCCCTGGTACGGCAGCGCCAGGTAGGACAAGTACGGACAGGCTGCTAAAATCTGAGGGCCGAACTAGGCTGCCAAGATCGAAACGGACTAAAATGACGATCTGTACCTACAACGCAAGAACCCTTGCTCACGATTCCCTGTAGAAGATCTATTGATTGAATTAAAAAGAATAAGGTACGATGTCATTGGCCTGGCTGAGACGAGAAGGCGCCATCCTTTTCACGCTGTTTATGACACCGGAGAAGAACTGTTCCTTGGTACATGCGATCGCAGAGGTGTCGGAGGCGTTGTCGTCCTCGTTAAATCGAGTTTGATAGTCAGCATTGATTGGTTTGAACAACTACCAACCCTTATCGGACGATTGCTGTTGAAACGATGTGGTTCTATGCCGGCTTCGACCACCTTCTTTGCTTACGCACAAACATCAAGCTATGACGAAGACGAATTTGAAGCGTTCTATATGGATCTCGAAAAACTCTTCAAAGGAGATCATACATTCTTCAAGGTCATTGTTGGAGATTTCAACGCAAAAACTGGACCTAGAAGAACGTCTGAAGAACGTCACATAGGGGCCGCCGGACTAAAATGGAATGAACAGGGTGAGAGGCTGTCTGAGTTTATCATGACGACTCAACCCACCCATGGTAACTCGCAATTCCAAAAGCCTCTTTCTCAGCGATGGACGTGGGAGTCTCCCAATGGAGAGTGCCATATCAAAATAGATCACATCTTAGTAAATCGAAGGTTTTGCCTGACCAATGTCGCTGTTGTTCACAAGTTTTACACGGGATCAGACCATCGCCTCCTTCACGCAACGTTCCGTTTTTCTAGGAGAGGAGAGAAAGCCGGTTAATTCAAACAATGAAGTCCCAGAAATACTATAAACTGGGATGTATTCAAATCATTAGTCGGCTCTTGGGATGATAAAGTTGTCGACAACATCGACGAAGAATACGATCGACTCGTTGAACATCTTCACGTTAGCGCTATGAAAGCCGAGAGACCTAAGGTCACGATGAGACGCCTGTCTCCGCAGACACTCGAGCTGATACGTCAACGTGGAATCGCACGAGCCGAAGGCAACCGAAACCTTACGTCCGAACTTGCGAAACGATGCAGAGAAGCGATAAAAGAAGACCCTAAAGAGAGAAGAGCAGCAGTTATGGCAGAAGCTGCAGAAGCTGGGAAGAACATTCGCAAAGCCCAGCGAGGCTTCGCCAACTATAAGACCAAGATGATTGCACTCCGATACCCTGACGGGACACTTACATCTTCGAGAAGGGCTATGGAGAAAATCATCCACCAATACTACTCGGATCACTTCCCTAGCTATGTCCTCTTACCGTCTTATAAATTGAAAGAGGAAGAATATGTCGTTACACCAGTCCTCCCTTTCAAAATCCGACATGCTATATCATCGATGAAGAACAGAACAACGCCAAGTCCAGACAGGATTAGACCAGAACACCTAAAGAACCTGCCGCCAGTTCTCATCAACACCGTGGCTCGGCACTTCATTCGCTATCTGTCAGAATGCAACGTCCCTATTCAATGAAAAACCAGCAAGACCGTATTGTTGTTCAAAAAGGGAGACCTTCACGACGTAGGTAATTATTGCAGAAGCGGTTATAGAGGCCCTGGATGGTGCATAATGATTCTTCCTGAGCTTCATAAAGATTTCACGACCAAAATATCTTCATTCTACAACAATATCACCATTGACGTATGAAGAGGGGCTCGACAAGGCGATACAATTTCGCCAGAACTATTCAGTGCCACCCCACAGAACGTCATGCCAACATTAGAATGGGACGACATGAAAGTGTAAATTGACGGTCGACAATTAAGCCATCTTTGCTTTGCTGACGATATCGTTCTCATAATACCAAACATCACTCAAGCAGAACGGATCTTGACCGATTTCGATAACGCCTGTGGAAGGATTGGTCTTCAACTAAATTTACAAAAACAATGTTCACGAGGAACAGATGGGCTTCGAATGCCCCATTCACGCTCAACGGAACGACAATCTCCGAATGCTCCATTACGTCTATCTAGGTCGTGAAATCAACATGATGAACGACCTAGCTCCAGAGTTGAGCAGGAGAAAACGAGCGGCTTGGGGAACATTTAAAAGCATCGAAGGTGTGCTGAAGAGGATGAAGAATATCCGACTCCGTGCCCACTTTTTTGACTCGACAATTATCCATGACCTAACGTATGCAACAGAAACCTGGTCGCCATAAGCAGGATGAAAGATCACTTGGCATTATCGAACGCGCAGTCGAAAGGAGTATCCCGTATCTCGCAAATGAGAGAAAGGATCCGAAGTTCCTACCTACGTCAACAATCGAAAATCAGAGATATTATCACAGTCATTATCGAATGAAAATATGATTCAGTTCACCAGCTAGAAGTTCGATTGTTGGTCATTGCATTGTCTAGCACTGTATAAATGTCCTTATCAGAGCTCACAAACAACTCAAAACAGTGATAATTATTATCACTTTCTCAACCATTAGCATTATCAAAAGCATAGTCATTATCACTATCATAGTTATTATTACTATATCATGTTATTATTACTATGCTATCATTTAGCGATGTAATTTTGTCGTTGAAACATAAGAAATGTAGATGAAATCAAGAGAAGATATAGGTGTTCGCTTTGCTGAAAATATCTCTGTAGAATTTTTTAATGAAATTCCACCATTTCATGATAAAGATGCTCTCTCTGAACCATCTGCGTTTGTCTCCTCACATCCATCATGCTGTCTGGAGTCTGCCTTCTCACAAGATTCGCCGCCTTTCTCACGGGGCGCGACGCCGCCATTACAGTAACTGAATTGATTTGACGTAGCGCGGTGTGGGACGAAACACCCCACACGGCCTCCAAAGTGCTAAAATTACTGCGCATAGCGTCACCTATTCAAAAATTTCTTCTACTTTCTGCAAAATTTTTAGGCTCCTTGCATGAGAAAAATGGGGAAATTCTGTTCTATCGTTCTCTAGCTACAAAATTTCTTTCAGTTCCACAGTAGGAAAATAACCCGTTATAAGTAAGTGACAAGATATTTACTGTCAAATATCATTTTGTTATTGCTGTAGCAACGCTCCATATAGACGGTTTCAAAAAGCAGCCTTAGTAGCAAAGTTTATGAGATTGAGTTATCGATTGACTGCCAGTAATCCATGTATATTACTAAACTGGCATTTATTGATTTAGCGCCAAAACTTACGAGAAGACTTGGTTCTATGTCTACTACCACAGCGCATCAAAATGAACCTTCTTATAAAATGAACGCACATTTGAAATCGCAGTGATTTGAGCTTTTGAATGACTATTGAGAGTCTCGGGGAAAAAAGTTTACATAGAGAAATGCCTCGAGAAAATCGTGTGTCGAAATGGATACACTTTGCGGCGAAGTAGGGGAGAAATTTTCCGCTTGATATTGGAATAGATCAAAAAACTAAATTTACCATAGCATGTGAGATGTGTATCCACAATTATTTTTGTAACAACAACAATTTACCCTGCGTTTTCGGAACACCCTTTTGTCCAACGAATCCGTTGGGCGCTCAACGCCCATTTCGCTAGACGGTGCTTCAGACCACGTGATTTTTTTTTGAGTGGCCTTCCTCGCCGACGTGGCAGACCATTGCTTGTCGATGTAGCACTGCAAACAACAATAGAAACTGAAATGCTCTTTGATAGATTTGAGATACCACATACAAATGCACTACTCCGAGCAAGTCGCCATCGCTCCTTTCAAGGACGATCTCGCTTCTTGACAAGGGCACTCTCGTGGACAAATGTTGTTGTACTAAACCGGTAAATAGTTATGTTGACTATGACAGGACATATTTCATTACGTATAGGAAGAACTTTACTCTATCCTTTTATGAGCATCAGTAGCACATACGATAGATTAATATACGATAATAGTAAAGTAGGATAAGAATAAAAGAAGAATAAGAATAAATGAAGTAGAATAGGATAGAATAATAGAAAAATAGAATAGAAGGATAAGAAAGAATAGGATAAGAGTAATATACGATAATACTATAGACAAAAGTGTAGCTAGGTACATAAATAAGAGGGGAGAGACAAGACTAAATCATGCCGATATCGTCAAGAAATTGAAATTCAAAAATCTCGAAAGTCTCAGAAATAATTTCATTTGACCGCCACCTGCGGTGTTATGATGTTGCAATAGACCCAATATGCAGAGGGCTGTGCAAAAACGTTTGCGTCAGCCGGGAATCAAACCCAGATCTCACTCTTTCCGGGAGCGTATGCTAACGGTTGCACCGCCGTAACGCAGAAAGAGTGCTGTGCAAAACGAGCGTCTGTGGTGCAACGGTTAGCATACGCGCCCACTGTTGCTCATTGACACGGGTAGACGCGCGTTGATCCCCCACTTCCATCACTCTCTGGCAATGAATAATAGGCGCCCTACGGATCGTTTCAGCCTAGCTATCCACGAGATTTCAAAAAGATGTGTTCATCCAGTATTCGGCGGCGCTCACAAAGATTTAAATTCTAATGACGCGATGAACGCAAAGAGACGGATTAAATCTTACATATACTGAAATGCACACTGTAAACAGATCTGTAGTACAGGTCAGATATTTAGACCGGTTCCATAAATAAATAAACAAATAGATATCAATTGAAATTCTTTTTACCTAACCGCTCTAGCGGTGGTATGATGTTTCAAATGTATACTCATTGATGTAGAGTGATGTGCAAAACTTTCGCGTCAGGCGAGACAAGAACCCGCAACTCACTCGGGCCAGGCCGTTGACGGTTGGCGGCTGACAGATAAATGCGATGCAGCGTGAAAAGAGTGGCGTGTAAAATGGGGGTCAGTAGTGTAACAGATAGAGCACGCGCTCCCGGAAAGAGTGAGGTGCGGTTTCTAGTCCCGCCTGACGCAAAAGTTTTGCACTTCACTAAACATCAATGGGTATACATTTGTAACATCATACCACCGCTAAGGCGGTTGAGTAAAAAAAATTCATTTGATCTCTGATGCCAGTATCTGTCAGTGTACCTGGATTCAATGTCAAAACCGACTACACGGGCCAGGTCGTTGACGGCTGGCGGCTGACAGATAAGTGCGATGTAGCGTGAAAAGAGTGGCGTGCAAAATGGGCTTCAATAGTGCAATGGATAAAGCACGCGCTCCCGGAAAGAGTAAGGTGCGGGTTCCAGTCTTGCCTGACGCGAAAGTTTTGCACGTCATTCTACATCAATAAATATTATTAACATTAATTGTTATATGAAAATCGGGAAAATTCTCTTGCTTAGCTGACGCCAGGTTGGTAAATTACTCGTAGAAATTCGGCTGGCGTTTCGGAGACCCGTCTTCTTCAGAGCCTGGGTGTGTGCAGCATTGGTCAATTTGCAATACACTGAAGATTCAATCAGACTAATACTACATACGCCCAGGCTCGGAAGAAGGCGGGTCGCCGAAACGTCAGCCGAATTTCTACGACTAATTTACCAACCTCGCGTCAGCTGATCAAGATGAATTTCCTCGATTTTCATATAACAATTAATCATTCCAAGGTTAATAGGAAGCCGAATTTTGAATTATTAACATTTTGTTACACTTCAACAAGGAATTTTTGATAGCAGTATTTGACGAGGGTGCGATTGCGGATTGGTAAGTGACGCAGTGTATCAAATGCGAGATGATAAGCAATGCGCCGGTTCGATCTCTCCCTCGACACTCTCTAGCCACGGATCGGCTTTCTCTGAGAATTTAAAGAGATTAGCATTGATCAGCATTTCACGACATTCATAAAAGACGAAATTCTTAACTAGCAATGAAAGCAACACGGAAATTGTTTGAAAACCTTTGCGGGTTATAAAGCGGATAGCGAATCGATTGCTAGAAATGGTGGGATCCGCCCAGAATGAGATAACGGATCGTATGAGAAAAAAAAAGGCTCTTTCTAATTAGGTGGGAACAAATGATATAGTGACTTCATTCGCCAGAGACGAACTTTTCTTAGTAACGGTTCGAGATCGCGAAAGAAGTAAGAAGTAGTAAACGGCACATAGAGTGTCAGTTGGTGAAAGTAAGTGGCCAGACTTCAAAGTAATGGTCCCTGACAGTTAATGGGCGATCAAGACGACGTTCAGCGCAAAGCAACAATACGCGTATCGATTGCAATGCGCCTTGCCACAGAAATATTAGCACTGGAGCAGAGAATTGGCACAAGAGCGCATTGTCGCATTTATAACTTTGAAGACAGAGAGATGATAGTGCTTAGTTTTGCTACCTGCCTAAGGTGCCAGTCCTATTTTGATCGCTTAACACTTGGAGAAAAATGGAAAAAGACCAAATTGGGGATTATTTGTTGTTGGAGAAACGCCGAAAACGGTCACCGTTTCGAAATCGCCATGCCGACCCACGTCGCTTTCACTGCCAGCACTCTCATTCTTTTTCCATATCAAATAAGAACTTTACTGAAATGAGGAAGGCTTGCCACATTGTTATTAAATCCATAAACAGTCTCTGGCACCGTGACGTGACGTCTTAAACCAGTGAAGTCATTCCAGAAGCTAGCGTGGTCAGACAGCTGCAGATGTGCTTCACACGCGCCGCTTGCCCGTAGCCATATTCGTCTCGGGATCTGACAGCTGGATGACAATCGCGAAAGTCGGTTTGTTCAAATGCGATACCAGAATTATCCCAGTACTCCTTTCTAATAGCTAACACATTGCTTGTACTTCTTACTACTAAAGAAGTTTAGGCAGCAACGCTGTTCAAACAGAGCAGATCTAGATAAACTGGTGACAATAACTCACAAACCATCATGTACTGCAAGGCGGCAGCTAGCTCGCAACTGCCTTTATGGCCGTTTATGTACAACGGAAAAGCGTATAATTTGCCTCACCGGTAGAGAAAGTGATTGCATGAGTACAGATATACTTTACCTAATTTTTCCAAAACGTGCAGCGAAAAGTATTATTCGATTGAGCTATTTTGGGCCAGCACAGAAGAACCCCTAAACGACAAACACAACTTCGAACCAAGCACACCGGTAGGCTCGCATAGGACGCAGAGGAACAGCAATGATGATTGTTAAGTGGAAGTAGAATTTATCACCCTCTAACAGGAAGATAGCATTAGCGTGTGTGTTCTTTTAAGCGCTTTAAATAGATCCCACAATCCAACCATGTAGACAAGGAGGAACGGCACTTAATCGCCGGCGATATTGTAAGGTATATAAGACCGTAATTTTTACGAGAACCGTGCATTTGTAGCCCATGTGATCTCTGCGTGGAAGATCTTCACCTGGACGATTCAGTAGACAACTGATAAAAATGCTGAAAATGTCGAAAGCTATTTCAAGCTTGATGCAGTTGAAACCTAAGTTTAGAGCTCTTTTATCTTTGAGCAATGAAAATGTTAGATGACTGACGTCTGAGCAAACTGATCTCTCAAAGCTCTAAAAGAGCCAATACTAGCGAGACACTTGTCAGAATAGGTTGTGCTTTAAAACGTCGCTTTTTGCTAAGAAAAATAGAGCTAGAAGTTAAACGAGAATGGCGAAGCAAGAAGAAAATCAGTAATGGGGATTTTGAGAGGTGCCAATTTTTCTACCGAATTCTCAGGTCTTCTACGTGAATACAGTGAACATAAAAGTTATATTATAGCTATCGCTTGAAGACGTGAACGTACACATGGCGTGTTTTACTTATGAAGACGCATGTGAGGACCAGAGACTTGACTCTGGGTTTGAATGGATGAAGAATCTGTGCATTCAAACAGTCGAGGAAAACAGTTGGTACATTTTGTGGTACAGAATGAATATGTTGGCACACAAATTTCAACATATGCTCTGGAACTGCCTTTTGAAATTCCCCACTGAGATGTTTGGTTAATATTTTACACTACAACAAAGACTGCGTACTGCATAACTTTCATCCATATCTTTCATAAAAAAGAACTATCCTCCGCGAGTTTTATAGATCTATCTCTGCAAATCGTAGCAGTTGTCTTACCTCATCAAGCATTGAATTAAGCAGTTTCGAAAGTCTTGCTCTCTTCAGAACACCATATTTTCTCCGTTTTTTTACAATTAACGATTACTTCACTTCAAAGCACGCACTACTCGACAACGTAGTGATAATCACGAGGCTATAAATCACGAGCAAAATGTAGATGTCATTAGTTTCTGTGAGTGACCAGCGACCATTTCCGCTGTGTTAGGATATCTCTTCGAGAAAACTTTTTTACAGACACTAGACTCGGTTATTTTTGTTCCTATGTTGTAAGCGCTTTGACGGGAGTTTTATTGCAATCGACTGATTTGTAGCTTGAATTCCTACCTGACTAGTCGTGAAAATGGGATGATCACTCACTACCTAGCCACCATCTAGGGCCCTCACATTATTGCTCTGTGCTGCTCTACAAAACTTTTGCAGTGCGCCGATGAGGTTCTTTCTCAATATTTTTACAGAGTTTCGGAGGCCGTGAAGTATTACTTAGAGCTGTATTCAATCCGTACTATAAAGTAAGGTTCAGTGTGCGGCGTGGGCCACTGGTGAGGAGAGCGATGCTTCTGATACGCCTATAGCTCTAACGTAACAACCTCGATAAGGCTTTAAACCTTGTTACAGACTATGTTTAACGTTTATATCGAAAATAAAAAACAGTCTATGAGATGGGTGAATGCAATTGCATTTGTACTAAACGTCACCAAAAGTCACGAGAATAGTGATTGTCAACCTTTTAGTAGTCACGTGTATCGATAATAGTCAAGCAGAACCTTTTTGGCTAGTCACTTTCCAATCCTAGCACAATGTATCGTTGAGAATCGAATGCTTTTGTTTCCTGAATTTCTAGAATCTTCACTGATATAGTGATTTCTAGGTGCCGCAATTCCTGATAGAGGATGCATGCGAGAAACAGCAATCTTTGCGAATCGTATGTGCACAACCTCGGCGCATTTCGGCAATCTCGATGGCGATTCGCGTAGCACTGGAACGTGGTGAAGAGGTTGGCTCTACTATAGAATACAAGATTCGCTTGGAGCAGAAGTATGCTTGCCCAAAATTTAAACATGGTCATGAATTTGTCGTCTTAGGTGGCACGAGAGCATTGACAATGAGTTTAACTGCTTATGCTTGATGGGTGTAATATAATGAGAACGACTTACCAAACCTAGCCTAAGTGCTACTGTATGCTTCTTTCATTACAGAATATCACCTCAACCGATGCTCACTTACAACCTGGTGAGTGTTAACGCTAAACGATGCCCCAGCAACATCTCACATATTATTCTCATTAGCCTACATTTAC